AATGTTAATACTGGTCAGTTGTTCCTGAATTCCAAAGGGAGGAGGGTATAATGAGGCGTGTCTGACCCCCTCACCTTTCTCATCATGGCCTGGACTAGTTTTTCAGGCCCCTTCTCTTGGCCAAGAGAGGGGTCCATCAGTCAGTTGGGGAGCTTAGAATTTTATTTTTGGTTTATAACACTTTATAAAGGTCCAAACTAAACAAGGTACAGTCTTTCCTAGATTGACAATTACCTAGATTGACACAGTAGTTGCATTCCTGAAAAGTTCAGTATATATTAAAACAGTGCAAAAATTATTTTTTTGGCATATAACACAAAGTTTGGTTCTGAGGTAATTTTGAGCAAGTTTTTGACCCTTAGGGACTTTGCGCAGGACATCCTACAGCTGTGTGGATGCTGGCCAATTCTGCATGGTACAGGACTGTCATGCACATGTAAACCAAAAATTAAATTCAAAGGCCCCACAACCATCTGAATGGACTTTCTTTTTTCTTTTTTTCTTTTTTTTTTTTTTTGAGATGGAGTCTCTCTTTGTCACCCAGGCTGGAGTGCAATGGCACAAGCTCAGCTTACTGCAACCTTTGCCTCCTGGTCTCAAACCCCTGACCTCAGGTAATCCGCCTGCCTCAGCCTCCCAAAGTGCTGGGATTATAGGAGAGAGCCACTGTGCCCGGCCCATCTGAATGGACTTCCTTCTAGGTCAGGGCACTCAAAAATTTAACCTAAAAGTCTAGTTTAGGCCATGATGGAAGTGGGGGCTGAAAATGCCTCATTATACCCGCCAACATTGACATCAACACAGACCTTAGGTCTGATGAGAGGCATTTACATTCTGTTCTCTGTAGCTGGCTACCTGGAGGCTTCATCTGCATGATCAAACTTTGGACTCCACAACCTCTTATCCCAACCCAGACATTCTTTCCTTTTGAGAACTCTTTTTTTATTTTTATTTTTTTTTTGAGATGGAGTCTTACTGTGTCACCCAGTCTGGAGTGCAATGGCACAAGCTTAGCTCACTGCAACCTCTGCCTCCTGGGTTCAAGCAACTCTCCTGCCTCAGCCTCCTGAGTAGCTAGGATTTCAGGCACACACCGCCATGCCTGGCTAATTTTTGTATTTTTAGTAGAGATGGGTTTTCGCCATGTTGGCCAGGCTGGTCTCCAACCCTGACCTCAAGCGATCTGCCTGCCTCAGCCTCCCAAAGTGCTGGGATTACAGGCGTGAGCCACCACGCCTGGCCTCTATTGATAACTCTTTCAACCAATTGCCAATTAGAAAAATATTAAATCTACCTATAAATTGGAAGCTCCCCCTCGCCCCTCAAGTTGTCTCGTGCTTCTGGACCAGACCAATGTGTATCTTAAATGTATTTGACTGATGTCTCATGTCTCCCAAAAATATATAAAACCAAGCTGCATCCTGACCACCTTGGGCACACATTCTCAGGGTCTCCTGAAGGCTGTGTCACGGGCCATGGCCCTCATATTTGACTCAGAATAAATCTCTTCAAATGTTTTACAGTTTGGCTCTTTTCATTGACATACATTATTATGCCATTCTGATTACAGGGGGGATACCCACTCCTGTCACTGAGACAACCAAAAAGCAAGCCTGCAAATTTATAGCTTCCTAGAAGGCAGCTGTCCCCATCAAGAGCCACTGCTTTTAGAGAGTGTTACAGATAAAATGCACTGAGGCAAAGGTCCTTGAACAGATCCAATCCCTTTATCTTTCTGTTGATGGCAGTGTTGTTCATTCAACATATTCAACATACTCTTTCCTTTTTTTGTGTGAGCACCATGCTTCTTTCTAACTGTTTGCTGTGTGGAGAATATAGTCTACCAGGGGACAGAGATGTTAAGTATGATAAATAAGCAACCAAATAGACAAGACAATTAAGGGCTGTGATCATTGCTTTGATGGAAATAAGATGGTTTTTGAAAGATTAACAGGGCGGGGGAGTTATTTCAAATAGTGTGTGCAGGAGAAGGCTCTGAGGAAACACTGGTGTGAGATCCAGTCGCAGTAAGAGCAGAGAGAAGAGGGTTCACATGGAGGAGGCAGCACGTGCCAAGATCCCGAGACTGGAAAGAGTTTGGAATGATGGACCATGTGTGTATTCCAGGATGGCTGGAACTTCCACCTTAGGACCTTGGTGCTGGCCACTCCTCTCCCTCAAACACTGGGTCTCTCCACATTTTTCCTTACTTCCTTCAGACCCCTGCCCTAATCTCATTACACCAGAGACACCTTTCCTGTCTCCTCTCTATAAACAGCTGCCACCACCCCAGCCCTGGCACCCCAATCTCCTTTTTCCCACTTTACTTTCCTCCATTGCATTTACCTCCACCTGTCAGTACCTATTTCCTCTTCCTTTTGTTGTCTATCACCTCTTCCATCCACCAGAATGTAAGCTCCATGAGGGCAGGCTTGGTCCATTTTGTTCACAGCTGTATCTCCAGCTCCTAAAACAATGTCTGAGGCTTGGTGTGCTGGCTCACGCCTGTAATCCCAGCACTTTGGGAGGCTGAGGCCGGCGGATCACTTGAGGTCAGGAGTTGAAGAACAGCCTGGCCAACATGCTGAAACCCCATCTCTACTGAAAATACAAAAATTAGCTGGGCATGGTGGCACACACTTCTAATCCAAGCTACTCAGGAGGCTGAGGTGGGAGGATCACTTGAACCCAGGAGGCAGAGGTGCAGTGAGCTGAGATAGCACCGCTGCACTCCAGCCTGGGTGACAGAGTGAGACCCTGTCTCAAATAAATAAATGATAAATAAAACAGTGCCTGACACATAATAGGTACTCAGCAAATTTTTTTTAGTGAGTTATTGAGGAGAAAAACTATTCAAGATAATGTTGACAAGACAGTCAAGAGCTGAATCATGTAAGTCCTCGTAGGATTTTATTCCAAGTACAGCGGGAAGGAAGGGAAGGGCCCTGTACAAAGAGGAATGATATCAACTAGATTACGGTTTTAAAAGATCATGCTGGCTGCTGGCTGGAAAATGAAAGCAAGACCAGAAATAAGAGAGCCAGTGAGGAGTCTCCAGTCTGGCCCACACAAAGAGATGGCGGTGGCTTACAGTAGGGCAGTGGATAGGCTTGGGAGGTGGCACCAACAGGACTTGCCAATGGATTGGATATGGGGTTGATGCCTAAAAGAATGAGGGTGACTCTGCTATGTTGTCACCCTGAGTCTCTGGATGGATATGGTGAAGCCATTTACTAAGATGAGGGAGAAATTCAGAGTGGTGATAAACATTCTCACCAAGTTTTTCCTAACAATTATCAGATGCCTGAGTTTGATACTTTGAGTCAACCCAGGCATCGATGCCTACTTCTGATTTGCTGTAGCTTGTGTGCCACGGCCTCACAGTTTCTGTGGAAACCCCACCATACATCAGCCCCAACACAAAGCACAGCCTAGTTAGAGATAGCCTACCTCCAGCACCGTGACTGCTCCAGGCTTAATCTCTCCTGGTGTTGACACCTTTGCCAGTGATGTTGTCTCATGGGATCATGGGATTCATGCTCTTTATAAACCATTGCCTTCTTCCTGTTTCTTTCATTTATTTTTCCTCTCATTCACCTGCCCTCTGAGCTATGTAACTTTTCCTTTACCTTCCAACAGAGGCCTTTCGTTACATTTAGAGCAAATGGAATGCATAGCAGGTACCAAAGATGGAGGTGCTATGCAAATAACAGACACCAAGCTCTCTGTGGGTGGGGTTCTTGTGTGTTTTCTCTTCATAGCACCCAGCACAATACTTGGAACACAAGCCAGACACATTTATTGAGCACCATTTCTGCTGCACCCATGAAGAAAACACTCAACCCACACAGACAGACAGTCAGCTCCCCCACAGGACTTAAGCAAGTGGGCCGGTCTCTGTTTATTGTTGTACACTCACACACTCACACAGCTGTCAGGTGAGCACTAGGCACTTATCACATTTTTATTAAGCCCATCACATCTGACTGTAGGGATGCCAGAAAGTGCCCGATTTCTGCATGATGGGATGGACTGTGTGTGGAGTAAGGTCAGACAAACGGAGATGGGCCAGTAGCCTAGACAAGTTAAGGGAGAAAAACAATGAATTTATTTTCCACTCATCAGCGGAGCTTTCTGTGGGCTAGGAACGGGGTGCCTGGCTAAAATGAAGCAACACTGTGTCTCTTCCTGCTGTTTTCTCCAACTCCCCTCAGCAAATCATGAATGAAAAAAACGAATGAATGAACAAACGTAGAGTTATTATAAGGATTAAGTGCAGGCAGGGTGCAGTGGCTCATGCCTGTAATCGCAGCACGTTGGGAGGCCGAGGTGGGAGGATCACTTCAGCTCAGGAGTTCAAAACCAGCCTGGGCAACAAAGCGATACCCCCATCTCAATTTTTAAATTTTGATTTAGAATAATAAATAAAATTTTTGAAAAAGATTAAGTGAAATGTTTTTTAAGTACCTAGAATAGTGCCTAGTATATAGAGAATTCAACATAAGTGTTTGATAGAAAGAGAACAAAAATAGGCCAGGTGTGGTGACTCATACCTGTAATCCCAGCACTTCAGGAGGTTGAGGCGGGCAGGTCACTTGAGCCCACAAGTTGGAGACCAGCCTGGGCAATGTGGTGAAACCCCATTTCTACTAAAAATACAAAAATTAGCCAGGTACAGTGGCGCATGCCTGTAGTTCCAGCTAATCAGGTGGCTGAGATGGGAGGATAGTTTAAACCCGGGAGGCGGAGGTGGCAGTGAGCTGTGATGGTGCCACTGCCCTCCAGCCTGGGCGACAGAGCAAGACCCTGTCTCAAAAAAACAGAAAGAGAGTAAGAATAGCTTTGTCTGTGTCTGCCAGCAGCCACGTTTGTGGAGTCAGAGGAATGAAGGGATCAAAGGGAACAGGAACATCATAGAGAATACCCCCAGGATCTGAAGACCCCAGTGCAATACCTCGAGCTTAAATGCCTGTGTTTTCATTCTCCCTTCTTCTCCATAGGATCATGGGAGACCACCTGGACCTTCTTCTAGGAGTGGTGCTTGTGGCCACTCCTGTGTTTGGATTTCCTTCCTGCTCCTTTGATGGCCGAATAGCCTTTTATCGTTTCTGCAACCTCACCCAGGTCCCCCAGGTCCTCAACACCACTGAGAGGCTCCTGCTGAGCTTCAACTATATCCGGACAGTCACTGTTTCATCCTTCCCCTTTCTGGAACAGCTGCAGCTGCTGGAGCTCGGGAACCAGTATACCCCCTTGACTATTGACAAGGAGGCCTTCAGAAACCTGCCCAACCTTAGAATCTTGGACCTGGGAAGTAGTCAGATATACTTCTTGCATCCAGATGCTTTTCAGGGACTGTTCCATCTGTTTGAACTTAGACTGTATTTCTGTGGTCTCTCCGATGCTGTATTGAAAGATGGTTATTTCAGAAATTTAAAGTCTTTAACTCGCTTGGATCTATCAAAAAATCAGATTCGTAGCCTTTACCTTCATCCTTCATTTGGGAAGCTGAATTCCTTGAAGTCCATAGATTTTTCCTCCAACCAAATATTTCTTGTATGTGAACATGAGCTCGAGCCCCTCCAAGGGAAAACGCTCTCCTTTTTCAGCCTCGCAGCTAATAACTTGTATAGCAGAGTCTCAGTGGACTGGGGAAAATGTATGAACCCGTTCAGAAACATGGTGCTGGAGACACTAGATGTTTCTGGAAATGGCTGGACAGTGGATATCACAGGAAACTTTAGCAATGCCATCAGCAAAAGCCAGGCCTTCTCTTTGATTCTTGCCCACCACATCATGGGTGCCGGGTTTGGCTTCCATAACATCAAAGATCCTGACCAGAACACATTTGCTGGCCTGGCCAGAAGTTCAGTGAGACACCTGGACCTTTCACATGGGTTTATCTTCTCCCTGAACTCCCGAGTCTTTGAGACACTCCAGGATTTGCAGGTTCTGAACCTTGCCTACAACAAGATAAATAAGATTGTGGTTGAAGCATTTTACGGACTTGACAACCTCCAAGTTCTCAATTTGTCGTATAACCTTCTGGGGGAACTTTACAGTTCGAATTTCTATGGACTACCTAAGGTAGCCTACATTGATTTGCAAAAGAATCACATTGGAATAATTCAAGACCAAACATTCAAATTCCTGGAAAACTTACAGACCTTGGATCTCCGAGACAATGCTCTTACAACCATTCATTTTATTCCAAGCATACCTGATATCTTCTTGAGTGGCAATAAACTAGTGACTTTGTCAGAGATCAACCTTACAGCCAACTTCATCCACTTATCAGAAAACAGGCTAGAAAATCTAGATATTCTCTACTTTCTCCTACGGGTACCTCATCTCCAGATTCTCATTTTAAATCAAAATCGCTTATCCTCTTGTAGTGGAGATCAAACCCCTTCAGAGAATCCCAGCTTAGAACAGCTTTTCCTTGGAGAAAATATGTTGCAACTTGCCTGGGCAACTAAGCTCTGTTGGGATGTTTTTGAGGGACTTTCTAATCTTCAAGTTCTGTATTTGAATAATAACTATCTTAATTCCCTTCCACCAGGAGTATTTAGCCATCTGACTGCATTAAAGAGACTAAGCCTCAACTCCAACAGGCTGACAGTTCTTTCTCACAATGATTTACCTGCTAATTTAGAGATCCTTGACATATCTGGGAATCAGCTCCTAGCTCCCGATCCTGATTTATTTGTATCACTTAGTGTCTTGGATATAACTCATAACAAGTTCATTTGTGAATGTACACTTAGCACTTTTATCCATTGGCTTAATCACACCAATGTCACTATAGCTGGGCCTCCTGCAGACATACATTGCGTGTACCCTGACTCGCTCTCTGGGGTTTCCCTCTTCTCTCTTTCCACGGAAGTTTGTGATGAAGAGGAAGTCTTAAAGTCCCTAAAGTTCTCCCTTTTCATTGTATGCACTGTCACTCTGACTCTGTTCCTCATGACCATCCTCATAGTCACGAAGTTCCGAGGCTTCTGTTTTATCTGTTATAAGACAGCCCAGAGACTGGTGTTCAAGTACCATCCCCAGGGCACAGAACCTGATATGTACAAATATGATGCCTATTTGTGCTTCAGCAGCAAAGACTTCGCATGGGTGCAGAATGCTTTGCTCAAACACCTGGACACTCAATACAGTGACCAAAACAGATTTAACCTGTGCTTTGAAGAAAGAGACTTTGTCCCAGGAGAAAACCACATTGCCAATATCCAGGACGCCATCTGGAACAGTAGAAAGATTGTTTGTCTTGTGAGCAGACACTTCCTTAGAGATGGTTGGTGCCTTGAAGCCTTCAGTTATGCCCAGTGCAGGTGCTTATCTGACCTTAACAGTGCCCTCATCATGGTGGTGGTTGGGTCCTTGTCCCAGTACCAGTTGATGAAACATCAATCCATTAGAGGTTTTGTACAGAAACAGCAGTACTTGAGGTGGCCTGAGGATCTCCAGGATGTTGGCTGGTTTCTTCATAAACTCTCTCAACAGATACTAAAGAAAGAAAAAGAAAAGAAGAAAGACAGTAACATTCCGTTGCGAACTGTAGCAACCATCTCCTAATCAAAGGAGCAATTTCCAACCTATCTCAAGCCACAAATAACTCTTCACTTTGTATTTGCACCAAGTTACCATTTTGGGGTCCTCTCTGGAGATTTTTTTTCTTTTTGCTACTATGAAAACAACATAAATCTCTCGATTTTCATATCAACACCATGTTCTGTCTCACTAACCTCCAAATAGAAAATAATAGATCTAGAAAATTGCAGCTGCCCTTAAAGATTCCCAGTCTCCATTGGTTTTCTTTCAGATCCAATAATACTGTTCTGTCCTGCTGTGTTGATTATAGAATGTACCCCTAATCATGGGAAGGACACCTTGGGATAAGCTGCAGATGGCTGACGTGCTTTCTCTAGCATTCAGCTCAAAAATGAGATGATTCATGATTCTGGGTTCTCTGTGTTCTGCAAAACAACATTAAGTAGAAAACAAACAGAAACAGAGGCACATTTCCTTCTTTTGCCACAGAAACAATGCCACTGTTGAGTGCAAGTCATGCTTTGTCTTGTAGATAACAGGTGACCCCAAAGAAGCTGGGATGAATGAGTCACTCCCTCTTGTGGCTGTACTGCACTTCATGTTCTTACCTTCAGCTTCTCCAGGTCTTGCCCAGTGAGCCAAGAACTTTCTTTCACATGCTGCCTTTATTTCAGCCTGGCCTTCAAGAACTTCCATGATTTATCACCAACCTACCTTTTCAGCTTGATTTCCTAGCACACCTCATTGATCAGCCGCTCAGGCTGTTGCATGAAAAACACGGACTTTGCACACAGATCCTGAGTTGAGTTCTGAGTCAGCTGTGTATTAACTGTGTAACCTTGGCCATGGTATGCCCTTGCTGGGCCTACATTTTCTCACATAACAGCATCTATGTCATAGAATTCCTGTGAAAATTAAATTGGCCAAGGATGTCAGGGCCTCTCAGATCTTTTCCTTCATTGCCCTAATGACCACAAGAGCACACATACACTGAAGGCCTTCTGGGGGCAGTCGCCATTTCATTGAAGTTGTACTTTTTTATCTTAAATGAAATCTAAGTGTATTTTCCATTCTGTTCCTTTTTTCATGTTTATTAATATAGAAATGTGTTTTTGCAAAAGGATTAAGAACATTTAAAGCAAGGAAACTGTGCCAAAATTACCCCATAGCTTCACACACTGCCTCCTCCAAGTCCAGCATAACTCCAGGTCACCTCCTCAGCTCTCCAGACTGTCACCTTCTTCCCCTCACTGGGCCCCTCAATCTTGACTCCTACAATACACACACACACACACACACACACATACACACACACACGCTATTCTCATCCCAACTTCTTTCGGCCACTTATAATCAATGAGACCGAACTTGCCCTGCATCCAGTGATAGCATTATTTTCATGCACATCATGCAGGCCCCACTCTTCCTCTTTCCTCTTGATTCTTCTCTCATCTCTGCACATCCATCCTACATGTTCAAAATCCAGCCCATGAAGCTCCCTGGGATCCCTCCAACCCAAAGTCCTGTCTCCCTTTTGTGAAAACTCTTGACACTTTATCTGGTCTTTTAAAAGTAGCTCTTACTACCACTTCCTGTCTTCTTTGTTCTGAGCCTGCCTGGCCGCCCGCCCCTCTAGAGGATAAGTTCCCTGAGGACAGACCTTGTCTTCTGTGTCCTGCCCTCACTGACTATAGCAGATCACTTATGGTTTTGGGACCATTCACGAGTTTCCCACCTACACATCTGCCCATGCTTCTTCCTCCCCATGGAATTTCTTCTCCCCATCCTACCACCTGTCTGCCTGGTGAATTTCCTTGATTAGCAAACTGTCCATCCCTCGTGACCCCAGTGACAGATTTTCTGTCACAGATACATGACATTGTGTTGCGCCAGTGTGTTTGTGTATGTGTGTGAATGGCTTAGTTTGTGAGACACTGCAGTCAGGACCTTGTCTTGTTCATCTGTGTACACTGGCCCATTATGGTGCCTGGCCCACAGTATGTGCTTAATAAATGTCTTGTGGATGAATGAAGTATATTGGGAAGCCCAGCCTTCCTCATGTCAACACCTGCTGTTATTAGACTTTCCACAGGAGGCACAGGGAGGATGAGGGCCTGAAAGAGCAAGATATCCATGGAGGTGCTGAGTGGTGAGCTGAAGAGGGCAGGAGACCACAGGCTGTTAGACACCCCTGAACACCATTTCAAATGGCTAGGTGTGGCACAGGGCTCCTGAGTAGTGGGACAGTGGCAGCCTGGATAAGCAGCTGTGAGTGGGGCTAGAATGGAGAGCTGAAGGGGTGGGGAGGAAAACAGAACCCACATGAATTTGCAGTGAATAAGGTCTCCTGGAACCTTGTGCTAAGAAATACAGTAAAACAGGGCCAGGCACTGGTGGCTCATGCCTGTAATCCCAGCACTTTGAGAGGCCAAGATGGGCCAATCACTTGAGGTCAGGAGTTTGAGACCAGCCTGCCCAACATGGTGAAACCCCGTCTCTAGTAAAAATACAAAAATTAGCTGGGCGTGGTGGTACACGCCTGTAATCCCAGCTACTAGGGAGGCTGAGGCAGGAGAATTCCTCGAACCCAAGAGGTGGAGATTGCAGTGAGCCAAGATGGCACTATTGCACTCCTGGGTGACAGAGTGAGATCCTAACTTAAAAAAAAAAAAAGGAAAAGAAAAAGAAAAAGAAAGAAATGCAGTAAAACCAAACAAACGTATACTGTGCCAGTAACAGGTATAACTGCAAATCAGGAAGACTGGAAAGACCACTCCGCCTCGGTTCATGCTCTCCTGTCCCACCTGCTGCTTAGCCATGGTTTTCCCCCAGCTCTAGGGAGTGCGGAAGGGGCACCCAGGACACTGAAGAAATCTCCTGGTCAGAACACCTTGTAAGAAACTCCTAGGGAAAGGGGTTTCCTAGTCTGGCTAGGGGTTGGAGGTAGTGCTACAACAGGGACCTCCCTTGGTTTGGGTGACCATCGCTATGACTCTATTTTCCAAACCAAACCTGGGACATGTAAAATGACAAGTGCAGGTGTATTTAGAGGAAGAACAAGCTGAAACACAGATAACTCTCAACATAGGAAAGAAGTCTATCTCACAGCCTTTTCTAATCTTCTTATTTAAAAACACAAATTACAGGTAATTTTCCTAATGAAACACATTTAAAAGGCACCTTTTGTGGTCTTTGTATAGAGTGTATGGGGGACCTGTTCACTTCTACATCCTAGCCACTGTTGGATTCAACATACCACTCTATTTCAAAACTTCCTTTTTCTGGCAAAGTTACAAAACTTACTAAAATTATTTTAATTTGTCTTCTTTTCCATGGTCAGGCCCAGCAGTTGGAATTCTTTTTGAGGCCATTTTCCCAAGTATTTATCACGTCACAAAACTTGCTGCGTGCCTGACAAAAGGAAGGCCCAACAGACGGAGCCATGTTGGAAAGTGGGCCCTGGGGAGTCTGCTGAGACGCTGGTTGCTAAGTGACTGCCCTGTCTTCCACGGGGCAGTGATTCAAAACCATGCCTCAGGAAATAGATAAATTCTACATAGCATGGACTTCTGGGGTCACTCCAAAATAGTGAGAAACTACCACAGTTCAATCTCAGAACGGCTAGAGCTTTCTGTAGTTGAAACTGTGACTATTCTGGAAAGATCTAGAATATTGACTAGGGCTGCTGAAAACTTCAAAGAGAATCCCACTCATGCCAAATACAACTGACTCTGAAAATCCCTTGCCAACCACATGCCCTTGCAGTGAAGAGTGTTTTAGAGAGTCTTGATATTATGTAGAGCAAATGTGGTTTGAAGTTTTAAATCATGAAAGAACCACATTAAGAGGACAAGAGACTGTGGAGTAAAAGTTTAAGACAGTTAAATGCTCATGTACCACAATATAAAATTGATTTTTAAAAGTCTACAATATTAAATCAAGAAATAGCATTGCAAATATATGTATTTCGAAGTATGAAAATGCCAGAAGAAAGAACCAGACAAATTAACGATGATTGCCTGAGGAAGTTCTGCCCAATTATTCCATTTGGAGCATCTAGAAAAGCTGGAGAAACTATTTTTTAGAATCTATTTAAAGACACTGGAAACCTACAAGGTAGTAAATGGGGCCAAGAGGCAAAAGAAGAAGGAAATCAAGAAAGATGACTACATTGCAATTAAGACCATCTATTCACCAAAGAAAGACTATCAGTGAATGAAAAGGGAAACTTTAGCATGGAGAGAGATATATGTAATACACGTATCCAAAAAGGACTCAAGTCAAAATCTAAAAGAACTTCTACAAATCAATAAGAAAAAGACCACAGAAAAGAAAAATGGACATGACACTTAAGAATTTCACAAAAGGATATCCAATGTCCAATAAGGAAATGAAAAGATATTCAGCCTCCTTTAGTCATTAGAGACGTACAATTGAAACCACACCGCAATCCCACTACCCACCCACCAGAATGGCTAACATTAAGAAGACTGACAGTACCAAGTATTGGCAAGGCTGTGAAGCAATTGAAACTTCCCTGCGTGATTGGTGAGAATGTAAATTGGCACACTATAGAGCAGGGTTCCCCAACCCCCAGGGCCACAGACCTGTACCGGTCTGTGGCCTGATAGGAAGCAGGTTGTGTAGCTGGAGATGAGCAGCAGGCAAGCGAGTGAAACTTCGTCTGTGTTTGCAGCCACTCCTCATCGTTTGCATTACTGCCTGAGCTCCGCCTCCTGTCAGATCAGCCGCGGCATTAGATTCTCATAGGAGCTTGAACTTCATGTACGAGGGATCTAGGTTGTTTGACCCTTATGAGAATCTAATGCCTGATGGTTGTCATTGTCTTCCATCACCCCCAGATGGGACCATCTAGTTGCAGGAGAACAAGCTCAGGGCTCCCACTGATTCTACATTGTGGTGAGCTGTATAATTATTTCATTATATATTACAATGTAATAATAATAGAAATATAGTGCACAATAAATGTAATGGGCTTAAATCATTCTGAAACCAACCCACCCCTATCCCCCACCAGTGGGTGGAAAAATTGTTTTCTATGAAACTGGTCCCTGGTGCCAAAAAGGTTGACGACTGCTACTTTTATTTTTTATTTTATTTTATTTTTTTTTTTTGAGAGGAAGTCTCAGTCTCTCACACATTTTGGAGTGCAGTGGCACAATCTCAGCTCACTGTAACATCCGCCTTCCAGGTTTAAGCAATTCTTCTGCCTCAGCCTCCCAAGTAGCTGGGATTACGGGTGCGTGCCACCACACTCAGCTAATTTTTTTGTCTTTTTAGTAGAGATGGGGTTTCGCCATGTAGGCCAGACTGGTCTTGAACTCCTGACCTCAAGTGATCTGCCTGCCTGGGCTCCCAAAGTGCTGGGATTACAGGCGTGAGCTGTGCCCAGTCAGAGACTGCTACTTTAAAGAACAGTTAGTCGTCTACTAAAGTTGAACCACACATGCCCTGTGATGCTGAAATTCTACTCATAAGTATATACACACTAGAAATCCATGCACTTATGCACTAAAACACACGTACAAAAACGTTGGTAGTAGCATTATTTGTAGTAGCCAACATTGGAAACAATCCACATGTCCGTCAACCACAAAATAGATCAATAAATTCTGGTAATTGAAAGCCTTGCAGAAATGACAATTAGCCAATTATAGCTGCATGTAACAACATAAGTGAATCTTGAAAAAAATGTTAAGTCAAAGAAGCAAGGCATAATGATGAGACACCAAGTAGTTGCAATTTGAGAAATTTTAACAAGGCAGAACTCATCTGTGGTGATAATGAGGACAGTAGTCACCTCTGGGGAGGAGCGGGTAGCGCTGGAGGGGGCTTCGAGGATGCTGGGTATGTTTTATGGCCTGACCTGGGTGACAGCAAGACTTTTGATAATACATCTTATCTGCGCTGATGAATTTGTTCACTTTTCTGTGAGATACTAGTTTTCCATTTAAAAAACAATTTTTTCCTTTTTTTTTTGAGATGGAGTCTCACTCTGTCACCCAGGCTGGAGTGCAGTGTCACAATCTTGGCTCACTGCAACCTCT